TTTTCCTCCAGAAAATTTGAAGGCTTTAATCCTTTATCTGATTCTTGATCCTCAGTGAGATAGCTCTGGTATTGCTTAATTGAGTTTATGAGAGAATTCCATTCATCAGGTTCATCTCCAACCCTATAAAATCTGTTTGCTGCATGCTGTATGTTTGAAATCAATCTAGAAAGATTGATCTTCAATATTTCTTGGGGATCAAAGACTGTGAAATTGATTTTTTGGGTAAAAAAGTTTAAATTATTTCCAAAAAGCCTCAAGCCATGACAGGATTTATCAGCTCACCTTCATAAAAATTGAAACCAAATGGCCAGAACCAGTGTGCAGTGATGTCCACCAAAGGGCTCCAAAGGCAATATGTTATGTGCCTGGGGAGATAATTGATATTAAGAAAAGAAATAATAAAAACTGTTAAGTTTTTATAAAAGGAGGGGCCTGAGTTACAGGGGTTTTTATGGTGCCCTCCAAGGAATCAGGACCTGTTAAACAGGGGTATTTTTGATGTACCTGATGATCTGGTCCTTTGTGTAAAGGAGTATGCCCAGACAAAATGCCTACAACTGAAGTATCAAGGAAATATTACCTACTTAGTACTATTTCCAAGCCAAGGGGACTTCAGGTGGGTGAAAACTGGTCTGGGAGCGCTCAGAAAACTGGGTAACAGGTGTTGGAAGAGTGCTGGGGAACAGTTGATGTTTGGGTTGGTGATATCCAAGACAGAAACAGCAGGAACTGGGCCAAAAACAGGTGAAAAACTGGTTGTTTGGAGGTGGTTATTGCTGGTAAATGGTAATGAAGATGGGGAATTTGAGTTTGTGGTCAAGAAGGGCTCCTTATATACTCATTCTGGGCCCTTGAAGGCGAACTCAGAACTCTGTTTGGCTGGTGCGAGCCTCCTACTAGGCATTGGTGACCTGTAGCACTGCCTAGACACCTGTAGTCCTTGGTTACAGGTGGCAGAGGGCTGAAGTGAGGCTTGTAACACACACTAAGGGGTGCTGTGACGAACTTGCAGCCATGGTTTGGTCACTGGGACCCTTTAATGACCAGTGGGCTGGTCTTAACCAGGCGTAGTTAGCCAAATTGGGCCAAAAAGGGCCACAAATGGCTTTTGACCAGCCAGTTACAGTTGTTGTGACAATGTAGTTAAGGTTTCAATGATGTCAACCTTATTTGTAGATTTTTCCCGAACTGCATGAACCTTAATTACATGTGTAGACCTGTCACAACATGTAGTATGATGTAACTGGGAGGGTTTTTAGCAAAAATGAGCAAGTGTCACTCAGAGTACAAAGAAGTACCTGAAGGAGTAATAATTCAGGGGTACTTCTGGTGAGATACCCTAGGTTATTTTGCATGAGAATTAAGAATCCGAAATAATATTCCAACTTTTGCTTAAGGTTTAGAAGTTATTTGTAGATTCATGTTAAAAATGTTTATTTATAAATGTTTATGGTTTATTTTTATGTTTTCTTTCATGACTAGTAAAACTTAATGTAATGAGTAATGATGTCTCTATTATAGTGATTCCACTTATTTAAATATTAATGTTTTTATATGTACATATGTAATAATGTCTCTATATTATGTACATATAAAATAGACATTAATTACATATGCTATGGGGGTAGTATATGTAATAATGTCTCTAAATATTTATTTATGCTATGGTCAGGTTGTCTCTGAATAGTAGCAGGCTGACAGCTGTCAAAATTAAACTTTTCAGACCTATTTTTCAAGATTGCAAGTCTCTTTCTGAATTGTTCAACAATGGAAATTTTATGGTCATTTTTTTCACCTGGTTTTTTTCTTGTATTGTTTGATTTTGTATCCTTTGAGTGAGAGTTTATTATTTGCCAGAACTTGACTTGTTTGTAGATTGACAATTCTTCTTTAAATTTCTCAGTTTTTTTGAAGGCATCATGATACTTGTCAAAAATCTCATTGGGAGTCTCTGTTCTTGATTTGATCTTTGTAAGTAGCTTTTCGACATCTTGAAACATTGCTTCAACCTCCCTTGAATCTCCATAGAGCGACTCCAATTTCCCTATCAATCCATCAGTGAAAAACATTCAATTTACAAGCTATGCTAGGAGGGAGCGGGCAGACGCCTGGACTAAAAGAAAATACTTACTGTGTTTTTCCCTGTTGTTCATCACCTGTGAATCTGTTTTGAAGAGAATGACTGGAGGACTTCCCGTCGTCCAAATCTGTAAATTTAGAAGGACATCCCAAACATTATTTGCTGGCGAAAATTGATCAAGATCAAGTTTTCACCAGCCAATAGAGTTTAGGACCCCTTTCCAGATCAAGCAATTTAGGCGACGGGAAGTCCTCCACTATCAGCATCAAAATAGAATTGAACAAGGTGATAACACAGAAACCACTAGAATCCCAATGATTCTGAACCAACAATTTTGATTCTTCAAAGAAGCAAATTGTGGTAATCCTTCAATGTATCTAAATAAGTATTCTCTGTCTTCATCGTCAGCCTCAGTGTGAGTCAAAAACGGATCTTGTTGGGAGGCACGCCACAAAGCTTCTTTGCCTAAATGCTGCTGTATGCTTTTATCTGTTGGTGGCTCCGGAAGGGCTTTTTAGATGTGGTATTAGATTGTACAATCCAGACCAATTCAATATTGAAGCCAAGATGATGATTCTGTCGGATGAGAATAGAAGCTATTTACCCCATAGGTGACCTCCAACATTCCTCTCGCTGTTATATTCAACTGTTTTATCAACAGCCATGCCAAATGTAGTTGAAGCAAACCACATGCTAACAAACATGAGTTTGGCTAACATTTTAGTATGGTGTGATAGATGAAATAGCAGAGTATGAGAACGGCCCTGGATTGATTTACCAAAGGTAGCACAAACTTGAGATTTGTTCAACAAAGAACGCAAGACTTCTGTTGTCCTTCTTCAGACCAAGACAACCCCTTTCAAATTTCGGGTAATCCTGGCAAGTTAGAGACAAGGTACGTATTACATACTGCGCGCCAGATATTTCGCTGTGGTCTTTATTGGTGACACTTGAGGCGGCCGAAGAAGGAAACAGATCACAAAACCACCCCCAAATACAGAGGGACATGATTGAGTAAGGTCGGCCAATGTCTCTGACCATTGGTGATATCTGCAGTGAATATTGTATTTTCTTAAGGCCTACTAGAAGCAGCAGATTATACCTTTTCAACCGGACAAGACAATCAGATTTTTGTTTGGTTCATCCGGGAGGAGGAGGATGATTTCGATAACACAAGGAAAGCAAAACCGTAACCCGTCTTGATTCACGTCCTCCTGCTGACGTCCGAGGAGCCGAATTCAATTTCTACCCTCTGCCTGACCTCAGCCGAGATCAATCGTTGCATAAATTGGATTGGCTTAAAACATCTGTCTTTCGGTTCAAGACTCAGACTTTCCATGGAAGTCTTATGTCAGCAAGTCAACCAAGTGATCAAAAGCTTTTCACAAAATTTTGCTTGGTCATGAGCGTTGTGAAGTCGCAACAATCTAGTTGCAGAGATGATGATCTCACTGATGTGACTGT